TAATAGCAGGAGTTTTCAAAATTTTTCAGGCAGTGGAACTTGCTAGTTGAAAAGAAAAAAAAAATCCTGGCTCCCCTGTTTAAGAAGGAAAATTCCAATAATCGAAAATTGGCAATAAAATGAAAAAAACACCCCCAAAACTGTTTATTGTAAGTGCAAGATTAACACATTCAACATAGAAAAAAAAGTAAAACTTAAAATTTCACACTATCTGGGAGGTAAATGCTTTAACCCAGGAGTGTCAAACTGCTGGTCCGTGGGCTGGTTGCATCATATGGAAGGCGTGCCAACCCCAGCTCTGGCAATGCAAAAAAAAGTCACGATACATCGCGACACATCACGTGGCGAGTTTGACACCCATGCTTTAACCAAAGAAAACATTGTTTAATGATGTGATTCCTGTTCCTTGAATAAAGTTCAGTATATTGAGTCATTGATGTTACTTGTAAACCGAGATCATGTTCTACATTTAGCCTATTTCTGCAATAAGTTCTGTTGTTGTTGCAGCTTTCAAAAGATATGTTGGTACAAATGGTATAAGAATTTCATTGCCTGGCTTCTATTTGCATGATCTTCTTTGAAAAACTCCGTTCAGACATTTTACAGTACCTGATGGAATGTTGTTTGTAAACAGAAATCAATCAAATGTAATTTTAATTTCTTAAAACTTGTGCCACAAGGAGAAACAACACTAGCACACTGAAATTGTTGTTACACTTTCCGATTTCACCCTTTTCTGTACTATATCCAATTGTAGTAGTTTGTAGTCAAAGAGGAAAAATGTTCACATTGACTAAATGAAAAATATGCCTTGGTTGAGGGGTATATATTTTGGATAGTTGTTGATAGCACACATTTTATCTGTTGTGAATGCCTATCTCAAGTCACTTAAGCATCCATCTTCTTTCTACCTGCCTGCCTTTGGAAACATGCTTCTCATGTAAGTTAATTCCAGAGTAGTCCCACTGCAAAAAGGATTTGAGGCACAGCGGTACAACTGAGCACTGCAATCTTAATTTTCATTACTAATTCCCACATAATTCAGTCAGGCTTACTTCTAAGTAGATAAATACAGGATGCCATCTTGGTAGTTAAGCATACCTCTAGGGGATGTGCACATGCTATTACACTGACATTGAAGAACAGGGGGTCAAACTATTCTCCAAAGCACCAGAGGGCAAGAAAAGAAACAATGGTTGGAAACCGATCAAAGAAAGAAGCAACATGGAATTAATGCTTCCTAACAGTGAGGACAATTAACCAGTAGAACAGCTTGCCTCCAGAAATCGTGGGTACTCCATCACTGGAGGTTTTTAAGAGGAAACTGGACAGTCACTTGTCTGAAATGGTATAGGTTCTCCTGCTTGAGCAGGGGGGGCTGAACTAGAAGACCTCCAAGGTCCCTTCCAGCTCTATTCTATTCTATTGTGGAAAGTGAAGAGCAAGGGATCCAAGGAAAACACTTGTGCTGCTGAACAGGTTAAAAATATTGGAGTTTGGGGCAAATAGTGAGCCATGTTTTGTGCGATGACATATGACAAGGGAACAGTAGCTAGCTGCCTCCTTCTCGGAGGGCTTGCAAATATTGGAGATATAGCAAGTAAGAGGAAAAAACAATGTCTAGTTGGGAGTGGTATAATATTTTTCTCTCTTCCCATTTGTTCCACAGAATCTATCCAGGTTCTCACAGAAATCCAGGATTGGGACAATCCCACTGTATAGTACCTCTATAGTATAGGACACAATAGTAGAAACATATCTACTATTTTCTTTGCCTGGTGGTCAGAAAGGCACTCATGAAGCCACTATGTTGCTGGTCTCACTGTAATCAACCTTGTTTGAAAGTACCATGGAGGTGACTAACCTCACTGTGATATGTAACAATGGCAGTGACTGTTGTCAGTTGTTAAAAGTGTATCTCAGTTGTAACAGTTTACATACAATGAAAAATCAGCATAACTTGGGTTGCTGTTTTTCATTTTTAGAAACAGCATATTGTATATAAACCATGTGCTATATATGATCAACGGCTGATTTTTATCAAGCACCAATTAAGGAAGCAACTAAATAGCATTAAACAATAATTTAATGAATTATTTAAAGTTAAAAATAATGATAGTAATTTACTCAAAAATCTGGGTGAAGATTTTGGGTTTTGTGGGGCCTTCAATGAGATTAAAAAAAAAACTTTAAAAGCTGGCTAATCAATCATCAATCAAAAGCCCTGTCAGTAATATGGTGCTCTTGTCAATTTTCACCTTACCACCCAGCTACTATTTTGAAGGTTCTTATCCCATTTCCTGCTCTAATATAGATCTTTGTCGGGCTGACTTGAAGGTGATGGAGCCCAGACCTTTTCCATCTGTCTGCATCTGGTGCCAGTTCGTCCAGAAGACTTTGGACTACTGCCCTTCATTACTTAAAGACACTTTGGTACCTGCAGTTTCTCCAGCTCTTGGCCTCCAGCTTTTAACTGCCACCTACTTATAACTTCACACAGACAAAAGGCTGGTCTGGATCAGCATTCAGCACAGGCCTTGTTTTAAATCTTACTGATTGATAAAGCTGATAAAAAATAAAATTGATGTTAACTTCAACCGCTCAAATTCCAACTTTTAAATCAAAAGCCTTCCAAAAGAAAGGAGACTGTGATGTCAGAATAGCATTAGAACCTGCAAAATAGCAGACAAAAGTTGAAACAATTAAGATGTGAGACATATTTGTTCAGGAGAAAAAAGAGGAAGAGAAAGATGAAGGAACAGAGGTTCCTTGCTATCAAGACCAATATGAAGAGGCAGTGGCTTACCTTTAAGGGCTTTTCTTGTGGTATAAACAAGAATAGCAGCTACAATTCTTCAAACAGAGAAAATCTTACTTTTCCTATGTGCTGTATTCAACATATTTATTTCTTACATCAATATATGCTATTTGGAACAAAAATAACACAGCCTTCTGACAAGTGTAATCTGTGTATCAATTGAATGGATATATCCAGCTCACATATTAATAGAAACAATAGAAATTCCTCTCAGTAATATTTTTCCAGGGTTTGAAACTAGTTATAATGAAGTAGAAAAGAAGAAAAGGAAACATAGATTATTATTGCAATAGGTGGAAGAGGAAGGGTGGTTCAAGCTAAACCTTTTAAAAGTAAAATTTCTATTTACTAAAAATATAACAAGAAATGTATCAAGATAATAATTCAAGGTATTTTACTTTTCTATATGACCCTTATGGTGCAATTATTCATGAAATAGCGTATCAATCTTGTGAATCTCCTATTATGTTAATTTTTAAGCAATATCTTTTTAATAGATTTTATTTTTTTAAGTAAAGAAGGGATATGAGCTCCTAAATTAAATCTTTCACAGAATGTATGTCAAAGGTAAAAAAAGGAATAGCTATTGAAAATGAAAATACGAATTATATTTGGTACTAATATCACAATAACTTAATATCTATCAAAATATTATTTTAGAAAAGTATTGATCTATTATATTTATTGGAATACAGTTTTAATTTACTTTTCAGCTTTTACTATATCCATAATTTTATCATACTGACAGTAATAATCTTTTTGCAGTTCTGAATTAATATTCTTCTTAAATAGGAAATTGCAACAATATCAAGCTGATATGAGGAAAGATTTCATATATTGTTTCTATGAATTAAGTATAATCTTTATAAATCAGATTCCTCATCATTTTTCATCGGATTTCACTGTATTTTGTATAATAAATAGGAAACAAAAAATTCTGATTGGAAGGAAAAAGTGCTTTTGCAATTCTTCATCTTTAAAATGTTTGTTATTTTTAGACTGCTATTTTCCACCGTTACATAGCGCAAGATAGTGACCAAGTGCTTTTAATGTATGTCTTGGAAGTTGCAATGATTGCTACTTTTGAGGATTTTACAAACTCTGAACTGCCAATTTCTTTTATGCTAGGTTCGTACTATAAAATACTGCTATTATTAACTCTCCCCATCCACAATCTTGTATAGCAGAGTAGGTATAAGAAAGCCTTACCAGTGGACCACTTTGTGAGACTGGTGCCTTTATAACATGTTGTAAATTTGATGGAGATTGACTGGATTATACAAAAAAATTTTTTTACCCCACTTGCATTGGATTTTGTGTCTTACACATTAAATACCAGCTGAATACCGGGAGGGAGGAAATGAGCCATTACAAAATTCAGCTTGTTTCATGGTCAAGGGCATCTATTTCATTATAAATGTAGTTCTACCAAAACAAATATTATTTCTGAATCTTTCATTATCTTAGTCTCTGGAAATGGACTAAACCAGCATGTGTTGGTATTAGATGCTGCCGAGCCAGCTGTCGTGCCTGGCTGCACTGTCTCAATGTCAGCAGTTCAAAGCTTGGCTGAATGGGAGGAAACTTGATAGGGCAGGGGAACCCTTTTTCAGGGGGAGGGAGAAAAACCATAGCTTTCTTTCTTATTCCCAGAGGCTTTAAAAAAAAATGTTTTGGATTTTGTTTAAAAAAAGAAACTTTGAATTTATAAGTGTTATTTTCATAAATGATGCAGTGCTGGCCTTATAAATCGGTTGGGCTGAAGGTGATTTGCAAGCAAATTGCATTTTCCTGTTTGCTTGTTTCTTTCTTGGATTTGTGGTAGGAGTCACATCACACAATGCCTAGTTGAACCAAGCTGCTGTTGCTGTGTTCTATGGTAAAAATCTCAGAATATATATCAAGACTTATGACAGGACAGAGGAAAACTCAGAGACAGAAAATGGCTTTTAAATTGGCAAAACAGAGAGGCATGGCTGACCAAATACTAGCTTTGCATGTTGTCCATTCTACTTCTGAATTAATATAATTAATACCATATAATACAATACAGACTATAAATATAATAAATATGTAATGTAATATATAGTCTAGTATGACATAGCACAACACAATTGTGCATGAGGCGGTATGCATTTAGCTCATTCCAAAGTTTACGAAAGCGTTTGAAATACTCAGGTTTTGCAAACTACTCCTCAATTAGATTGGGCTAAGCGTTTAAGTACGGCAAGCACTAAGTCATGCCAGATTAAAGATATTGCACACTTATTAAGACATCATAGAGAGGCACAAGTACTTTCAGCACATGGAAAGAATGCTAAAAGCACACATGAACAGTAAGTGGATTCTTCCCTTTCTATGAAAAATCCCTAGAGGTTCTACTCTCACTACCCCCTTCATTAGTGGTCATGCCAAGATGTAGCCTGGCCATCATTAACAATCTCTGAAATTACAGCAAAGAAAAGCTGTTCTTCGTCTTACTCAGGAACGGTAGTATTTTTCACAATACATATGTGAGATGAAGATAGTAGGCTTGTAATACTACCAGACAGCTAATTCCTGAGGCAGACAGTCTGAAGCACTGCAAATAAGGCAGCTAGGAGATTTCAACTTGGCTGTTCATTTTCAAATTCATTCTTAAACAGCAGGGGAAAAAAAGTAGTGAATGAGTGTCTCCTAAACACATTGTAGAAGACATGAATCTAAATTCTTGTGTGCTACAGTGCCCTCTGTTGGAACACATGCTGACAAAAGGATAAATGGCTTGGCCTACAATAGCAAAACAAATATTGAGATACCAGCTCGTGAAAATGTGTTAGTCAGCCAACAAAATCTTTATCTTCATGCAAATGAATTTTTTATCATTCTTTTAAATGCTTCACCGCTAACCCTCACTAATACTTTTTAGTGACTGCTTAACTAAACTCAAGTTTTCTGAGTTATTTCTTTTAAATTTTCCTACTTGTTTTTCTTCTACTGGGCAACTTTTTTCCACAGAACAACTCATCCTCTAAATAGGGCAATGTGTACAAGACACAGAGCTAAGATGATGCACTTAAATTTTTGTAGCTGGATGAGATACTGATTATGTCCAAATGAATTCAGTGAGAAAGAATGAACTTGACTCGGTCTTTTAGTATCAGAAGAAGGAAAAAGAGGTTATGCTACGACTGAGTTCTTCAAATCCTGACACAGAAGGCATTTCAGCCAAGAGAAGTTCTAAATATTCCACAGAATTCTCATTTATAGAACTCCCTTGAGATACCTCAAAGACAAGGCAAACCACGGAGAAATTCAGGGCAAGGTTTTTTGTCTGACAGATAAAACAAGGGTCTGGCTGATAAATTAGGTTCCAAATCATCTGCAATTTGGTTTTCTTCTTCCCCAAACACCAGTATTTATATTTTCTGGTTTCTTACCATACTGTTTAAGGAAAACGTAGGAAACACAGGAGAAAAAAAAGAAGTATGACCTACTCATTTTTGAGAAGAGCAAAGAAATATTGCAACTGAAAAATCTGCTCCCCCACACCGTTGCCCTTAAAAAAGAAAAAGAATGTTTACAGAAGTTACAGCATCTGTGATTCTCTTTGGCTCATATTCACACATTATGACTCTTCCACTCCACCCCCAAGAAAGAATACACTCTCTGTGTACATATTATAAGGTTATATTTTTATCTTGGGCTTTTGGTGACACACACAAACCACTTGAGTCTTGCTTTCATGGTTTACATTGCCACCAGAAACTCTTGATAAAATACAGTCTTCTATTGTACAATAGGGTATAGTTTATTTTCTCAAGATATTATATACAGTATTTTATTTATATACACAGACAATGTGTACATGCATAACGGGTTTTAGTAAAATAATTCTAACATCTGAATAACACTACATTAATGAAATAACACCACACAATAATTTTTGTTAGCAGCACGCTTTCCCTCAAGAATGTAATAAAAGCATAAAAATCAGTATTTTCATGTTATGATTTATGAATCCCATACAGTAGTGAAAATTTTAGCTTCTTGTGGTTTGTAATATTTTACTCTCAGAGTTCTTTTTAAATAACTAGAAATTTTAGCTTCAATATCCTTTGGCTGAGTGTATTTTTTCCTGGTTTAGCTTTATATGTTTACTATAATGTGTAGTTTTTGATTCTTTTCATAAGGTACCATATGGTATGACATGTTTCATAAGCTACCATATGGTATGACATGTTTCAACATAAGAAAGTGAATCACTGAGCAATGCTGAGCAAAAGACTACACAATGAGACAGAAATATACTTCTAAATGACAGCCAAAAGTATCTATTATCTTTAACTAGGTTACATAATTGTATTAAAACCATGGTGTTAAACTTCTCAACAGAATTTATTTTTCTGCCTACATCAAGCCATGCTTAGAGAGACTAAATATTTTTATTCGCATCTCCTAAACCATCTAGAAAGAAAAAACTGTGAATAGGCAATTCAATAGCCATTTCCTTTTGAATGGCTCTTCGGGTGTGTTTCATTAATAACTGTTTACGTAAAACATCATTTCAACAGTTCAAACATCAAAGAAAACAGGGAAATCTTGGGCAGCCTGCCTGGCAGAGGCACAAGCTTTTCAATCTGGACAAATACAAATCCAGGCAGGAACAGTGGGAGAGGGAGGTCTCTGTGTATGTGTTTGTGTGTAAGCTCCTGCCTTTAATTTTGTTCTCCGAATGCACGCAAAGGCAGCAGATTCCCGGTTGTCCCCTCTGCGAGCCAGATGCTTCCTTAGAGGGGCAGTTCCATCGAACATTTGCCATGTCCCTCCCACTCCCTTATCCTTGCTTTAATGGACATTAAAAATAGAACAAAACAGCACCAGAGATGGGAACAAAATACATGCACAACAGGCTCAGTCCGCTGTATTCATTCTGCTGCAAAATGTAAAAACAAGAAAGGGCATACAAGCTGTATCCCCTAGGACACATTCAGCTTTTTTAATATAGTAGTGCCACCACACATTTCGCTTCGGATGTTGTATTATATTTATATGTCACTCAAATATTTACCATTTCCCTGAATTCTACTGTGTGTTTGGAAAGCTTGTTATAAGCAAAGTATCTTTGCTCATGTGCTGGTTTCACTCTGTAACAGCTGTACCTGAACTGCATCAATACGTTAACTTTTCCTTCTGAAGCTTTTCATGTGACAAAAGCCACTCTTTCAGATGACTTCCTCCCGTGTAGTTGCCAGGCTGTCCACTGCTGCAAATCACTCTGTGGCACGGTATTATAATAGGGACCTTTGAAGGAAAACATCAAGACACAGAAAATAAGGCTTCTGTAAAAATCCTTTCTCTCCACCCCTTTTACTTAGAAATGGCATTCATGCGGTCAACGTTCTTGTCCCTTTCTTAGTATCAGCCTTATCCTGCAGAGTTTGCATGTGTATGTTTCTGTATATTTCTCTCTCTCTCTCTCTGTCTCCCTCCCTCCCTCCCTCCCTCCCTCCGTGTGTGTGTGTGTGTGTGTGTGTGTGTGTGTGTGTGAGAGAGAGAGAGAGAGAGAGAGAGAGAGAGAGAGAGAGAGAGAGAGATGTCATTCAATGACAGAATGCTTATATATGCATCTATCTATACCTATGACCTGATTATTCTTTGTTCTGGTCTCTGCTTTTGGTCCATTCACATGTTTAGTTTTCTAAAAATTACAGAATACAAACAGGGAGATTTGCAAAGAAGAAAAATGAATCTTTCTATTTTTCAGTGTAAAACAATTGAATTAATGTAGGCAAATCATCTAAAAAATAAAATCAAATATAGCAAAACCAGAAATGACTTCCTAGAATTAATGGATACAATGTCATCAGATATAAATAAAACTGCATCTTCAAAGTCTTAAAGTAATCAAATGAGGAAATTGCTATTTTTTGATAAAAATGTACAACTTATTACTAAAATTATCTTCCTATTGGAGGAATTGTTCAGTAGCCAATGTAGCTTTCATGTTTAGAAAAGTGATTTGGATCTGAAAAGAAATAATCCATAAATTATTTCACTTCCAGTTGGTTTATTTGATTAAAAATAGTGTGAATATTACTATTAAAATTACACAGAATAACAACCTCCAAGCACAGTCTGCTTCTCTATCTTTTGAAAGTTATTTGAAGGTATTAATAAGCACATGTCAAAGAAATTTAGAAGACATTCTATTAGCCATATCCAATACTTAGAGGATAAAATAACTTGTTGATCAGTTTGGCAAAATAGAAATTGTCAATTCTCACATTAGATGAAGTAAGGAGAGAGTATATTATAGGTCAGTAATGGAATAGTGACACTGAAATTATTAGTAAAAAATAGTTATTGGAAGGGTTATTCCTCAAGCTAGCCTACTTCACTGGATGACTTTAAATGAGTGAAGATAGTGAAAACTCAAATAGAATGGGAAAGTGGGAAAATAAAAGCATGGGAAAACAATGCTATAATATGTTCAAAGTAAGTAAATAACTTACTTACAAAGTAAGTAAATTACAGATACTAAGGGGATCTGAACTTGTAGGGTTCTTACAGAAAGGCTATTTAAGCTCTTACGATGAATAGCATAATTAAATCAACAACTTTGTGCATGGCAGCAATGAAAATGGCCAATTCCATGCAAGGAATGGTTATGAATATCACTATGCTTTTTATAAATCTAACCTCTGGCTGAATTCAGAGAGCAAGGCAAATTAAGAACCATGGTGGTACAGTGGTTAGAATGCAATATTGGAGGCTAATTCTGTTCACAACCAGAAGTCCGATCCTGAATGAGTCAAAGTTGACATGGCTTTCCATCTTTTGAGGTTGGTAAAATGAGGACTCAGATTGTTGAGGGACATATGCTTACATTGCAAACCACTCAGAGAAGCTGTAAAGCATTGTGGAGCAATATATAAGTCTCAGTGCTATTGCTAAGCGCTAAATTTCTGGTTGCATCATTTCACTAAAATGTATGAAAGTAGCAACAAATGTTTTTTTTTTCCACAACGTTTGTTATCAAAGAGAGGATGGAAAGTGTAATGCTTTACAATTTAGGAAATCTGAACATAATACACAATTTTTAAAATTACAATATATTCCATGAAGAAAATAGATAAATTATTTCTTTCCTTCTTTTAGAATATTAGAACTTGGGGTCATAGCTAATAAAATTGACTGATAGTGTATTCAGGGCAAATGAAAGAATTGCATAGATAAACAAGGAATGTTTAATTAAGGAATTTAATTAAAATTTGTTTATGATCATTGGTTTAGATGACAATAATAGGAGTATCAATCACTGGGTGATAGTCATGGTATTTAGAGATCTGAAGAGCCTAAGAACCAAAGGTCTCTATGATCTTACTGAACTTCTGAGTTAAACTTGTACAAACATATGGATGGATGCATACTCAAAAGATTACTTTTCTTTTTTCTATAAGATATTTTGGCTTTGTCACTGGATTTTAATGTATGTCTTTTATTTATTTTACAAGGAAGAGAGGGAGGGAGGGAGGGAGGAAGGAAGGAAGGAAGGAAGGAAGGAAGGAAGGAAGGAAGGAAGGAAGGAAAGAGATTGCAGGCTTTCTCGATTTTGCTTACATTTTAGTTTATGAGGGCTAAGGTAAGATATGTCAGGTCATCTGCTAACGGGTTATTTACTTCCTTTTTCCATATTCTTTACCATGTGGTTAATATCCCAGATTCAAACTAAAATATTTAAAAGGAATAGTTGGATTTTGACTCCAAACATCTCAGTAATTTTAAAGAATCTATAAAGTTAAACATTGGGAAAGGAAATACTCGTGTTTACTCCTTTATAATATGTCACATCAGAAATCAAATATTTAACATGCAAAACTGAACCATAGTGGCTATTAAGAAATGCAGTACTAAATCAGACAAGAGGGTGATTTGTTCCAAAAAGTTATGATTAAGCTTGAAAGTAGGATATGAGTACAATAGCCAGTTCAGGCTTGAGCTCCCCAGTGGCTGTTAGCAAGAGAGATGCTGCCTTTGATATTGGAGAAATTACATAGGCCTCATGATTAACCTAACATATAGTACAGAACAGATATAACAGATAACACCTAATATGACATATAGCATGGAATAACAATTTTATCTCAGTCATAGACCAGCATAATCTTCATGATTAGTAGCTTTATTCTCCATGGATCAGTTTAATCCTTTTAAAAAAGTGTCAGTGGCCATCAATGCTTGGCAGTAGCAAATTCCAAGCTTTACTACACACCACATGAAGAAGCATTTCTTTTTATCCATCCAGAAATTTCCACCCTTACATAGTATAATGAAAAATGTAAAAACCTTTTTTTCCTATTGATATTCTTCACAACATGCCTAAATTAGTAGGAGTCTACCATATCCCACCCATCTCCCCCTTCTGCAGTACACTAAAAAGTAGCATAGTCAATTGCTGGAACATTGTGCTTTTCCCCAGCATCATGAATAAATTCTTATTTTAGAAGAAAAGTGCTTGAAAATGGAGGGAACAGTTCTTGAATTAGCCCATTTTGGGGGAAAATACAAACTCTTTTGAAACAACACAACCTATTTTGCACACACTTACATTTACCTATTTTCTGATCAAATAAATTATAATAAATCCACATACAGATTTTCTTCAGGCTCTTGATCATATACTTACTCTTTTATTACTCTTTTCCAAATCTAAAATATAATTTTTAAAATGATCTCATATTTTCCAAGTGTTGTTATGATACATTTTTAAACAGAAAGATTATGATATTGTCTGTATTATTTTTAGTGTTTTGAGGGATAACCCTAAAAGGAATTTGCAAAGCCAAAGGACCTTTTCTGTCAATCACCATCATCAGAACATATTTAAAATTAAAATATTCTGACCCAAAGTCTATCAGTGCATTTACTTTGATTGGCGCTCATCTCGGCTGCTTACTTTTAAAAAGGTCATATTTATATTGCACAACATTTCCAAAATTCATCTAATTCCCAGACCAATTTTTTAGATGTTGTACCACAATGGCTAGTTTAGAAACCAATTGTAGCAACATATTAAGGCAATTCCTTAAGAAAACAGAATCTGACAGACTGATATGGACATATAGAGAAGGTCCAATTCATTGTGAAGTATCTGGAGTGATGAGGACCAAGCAAAGTTTCTTCACTGATTATTCCTGGGCTACAATTAAATCCTTTCTCCTGAATCTATGGATGGCCTCAACCATCCTTGCTTTTAGGAAGCAAGTAAAAGTGGTACTAATTTTTAATTGCAGCTATCTATCATAGCTGTTAGAGCTATATTGCAATACACTGTATTCTGTTGTATTGGGTTGTGTGGTTTACTTCCTAGAGTCTGTATGGATTTGAGTAACCTGAAAATGCTTTCTATAAATACCTTTTTAAAAGACAAATCTCAGATGCCAACTGGTTTGATGATAAATATTATGAATGAAAGCGAATATACGTGTCCCAGGATAATGTTGTAGAATCCAATCTAGGTGGTCACCGGGACCAGAGGTTTTTCTTCTGAGCTTTCAGACTCCTGCTGGAGGCCATCTTCAGGGAACATCTCTTCAGAATAGTGGTTCTCAACCTGTGGGTCGGGACCCCATTTGGGGTCGAATGACCATTTCACGGGGGTCGCCAAACAACGCAGTCTGCCATTTTTTCCCCCTTTTCCTTAGCTGTGCTACTCCCTTTTATTCTATTGGGTTTTGAAAGCCAATAGAATAGACTCTCTTGAATAGAGTCTAATTCTATTGGCTTTCAAAAGCCAGTAGGAATTGTCCAGGCTATCTCTGCCCTGCTGACCCCACCAAAAGTCCCATTCTGCAAACGGTGCTGGACCAGTTGAGTAGTCCTCGACTTACAACCGGTTGAGTAGTCCTCGACTTACAACTGGTTGGGGGTCGCGGCATTAAAAAGGTTGAGAACCACTGCTCCAGAAGAAGCTAGCTAGAGAGCAGTTCTCTGAGGATGGGCCCCAGCATGAGTTCAGAAGACAAAAACCTCTGACCCTGTGACCCACCCAGATTGGATGTTGAGATAAACATTATTTTTGTCATTACTAGTTGCTTCTTTTTTTTCAGGCACTTTTTCCAAAAGTATTAATTTAGATTAGATTCTGCCCTGTGCTCTTATAAGACTGTCTAATATAAATAATTATCTCAATTTCTTTCAAAATCCTTAACTTTTTTTAAAACACATTGTTGAACTTCCTTCTCATTTGATTCTAAAAGGATCCCTACATTGATCATATGAATAGCAGCCGTTAGGTGCAC